AAAATTAAGGAATAGTATACAAACAAAATCCTCAAACTTTACTTGAAACTAAAATAAGTTTTCGATTTTTATTGCATGGACTTAAGTTTGTGAATTTTATTTTATTCACTACCAGAAATATCTTTATTATAAATTGAATTATTATTGATGGAACTGATGAAAAATTTTGTTTGTAATTATCAATAGAATTTATCTATTATTGATGAAATAGTATTATCGATTTGTCTATTATTGACAGAAATTTTCGATCGTAAATTTTGTTGGTAATACTATTACTGATGGAAAGCATATTATTACTTACAGAAAATTCTTTTGGTAAAAGTTATTTTTCTGATAATGATTGTAATTATACTCATTAAATATTGAAAATAGATGAATAAGTTAAAGTACAATAATTTTGTTTAAATAGCATTTTCTCAAAAATTTATCATCTAACTCATCAAATAAAGCTAAGTAAGCATTTTTTTTATATAAATTACACTATTTAACGAAAAAGATTTTACCCAAAAAGAAAAGAATATTTTATATTTTTAGATCATATTTAGTATATAAGATGATGTATAGAATAATATAATAATCATTTTATATTATATTTGATTTGTATTTAATTGAAAAGATATAGGATTATAAGGATAATTATCATTCTTTTGGTATAAGAAGATTTAATCCTCTCAAAGTGAAGAGGATTATTTTTAATCAATGTTATTAAATTTACATGTCCTTATTATAGTTTTTAAAATTACATTAATAATTTAAATTATATAAACTTTAAAAAATGATAATTTTAATTGAATAAATTATCTTATCTTAATTTTTGCATTTATCAAATAAAAAATAAGATGATATTATTTAATCTAATATTATTCATAATATTATCTTATCATATCTTATCATAATTTTGTATCCTAAACATGATTTTAAAATATTAATTAAAATGAAATAAAAAATCTTAACATTAATTTTATCATACAATAAATGATAGGTAACTTATTTTTAAATTTGAGTAAAGTTGAAAAGTTTATTTGGTATTATTCCTAAAATTAATGATTATGCTTTTATTTACACTAATTATGTTATACAATTTATGTTACATTTTAATTATTTGTTCCATTTTAAATCACTTATGATACTACTTTTATTTGTTTTACTTTCTACTTTTACTTTGTAGCAAAATTTCAAAAAGTAAAAAAGTAAATAACAAAAACATTAGGAAAAAAAAAAAAGGCATTGGGCATCCGTCAGCATTAACATGGTGATTTTATTGTTTGCTTTAGGCAAGCATAAAAGCAAAAACCACATAAGATAGAAAGGCAAGTGAAATTTAAATTCGAAGGATTATACATGAAATATTTATTTTTTTAAATAAAAGAAACATGATTTTGCTTCTATATACATTAATAATGTTTTAAATGATGTTACATTTTAATTATTCATATGTTTGAAATCAATTCAAGTTGCAACTATAAAATAGAATTCTAAATACATTGGTATGGACCTTGCATATTAACTTTTTTTTTTTTTTACTTTTAATCTATTCTTAAACTTCTTATTTTTATATTCATTTGCTAGAAAATAAATTACACATTTAAGTTTTTTTTAATTCGTAATTTTTAAATGAATGTTTCGAAGGTTATTAGGCTTACATATTTAACTGTAATCAAATCTTATATATAAGATTGAAATGAAAGCAATGTGTAGAAGTAATAGGCACAATCTCAGAAGAACAAATACTAAGAAAAAAAATGCATGAGCCACCTAATTGCCAAAACCCACAGAAAATAGATGATTAATATATGTATTGATCAATGAGTCAGTATTTATTTTCTAGGAAATATAAATACGCTAAATATATACAAAACGAAATTACGGAAAATTTGGGAAAATATGATAACCCAAAAAAAAAAAAAATCATTCAAAGCTCCCAAAATCAATCACGCTTCTCAAAGATTGGATAAAGCCATCAACTTGTCTTTACAGATTCCTATCATGTTAAGGGTTTTTTGTCAGTTGCGGAAACTGGATTCCACAAAAACACCAAAATGATAGGAGGCCACATGACTTATCAAATCAATTTATTTATCATCAAATTATTTACTATATTATTTAAAGTTAACAGGATCGAATTTGGTTATTATTATAACTTAATTGTAAGAGTAAGATGGAAAAAAAAAAAGAGTGTGTCAGACGTTTTTGTGGGGGATATATTCAATAATTTTCCATGGGATGATGGAAAACCTGATGGATGTAAATGATCTGCTGATTGTCCAGTCTCTTAGATCTGGTGGTTTTGGATTAAAGTTTGAATCCTTGTTTGGTAGATAATTTTTTATAAATAAAAATAATTATTATATAATAAATAATTATAATTATTTGAATATAAATAAATTATTATTCATAAAAATCATAATTATATAAAAAATTATATTCATTTGAATAAAAATTTATACATGTTCATTCATTATAAATAGATATTTTAATATAATCATATTTATGACTTTCGGAGAGTTTGAGGTATAATTATCTTTAAAAAAAAAAATTTTCACGTCTTAAAATTAAAATTATTTTTTATTATTTATATTCTTATATTAATTTTTTCCAACATATAACCATGAAAAATCCTACAACTAATGACAAGAGAAAAGGGTATGGAAAAATAAAATGGCTTTGGGAGCGAAGGTGCCCTTGCTCGGGCAAGAAATCCGTTCAAGTTGAGTCCAAAACACCCTTGAGTTTGAATCAGAAACTCAAGGTAGAGGATCAGAAAAGTTTGGGCACAAAAAGTTCAACCTGGGGCGATAAACGGGAAGAGATACAACTAGCCTATAATCCTCACAGGATCTCGGCAGACAATCATCACTTTCATTCAAGCTTAGGACAGCGTATGGTAGCCTCTGCAACTGCTAGACCTTTGATGGTAAGTGTTGGTTCAGGGAATGCTGGCTTCACGTTTCCAATACTTAATCAACAGCCAACATCATCCAACATTAAAATGGCAGTGAATACTAATAATAATTCACTTGACGATCATGAGGATCCACCTCGAGACTCGTTGGAGGTGTTCCGACCTTCTGACGAATCATCATCTATTTCTGTTCCAAAGAAACTTGTGTCCGGGATTACCATAACTGACGATTATGTTGGCAGTGATGCCAGCTCAGACTTGTTCGAAATCGAGAGCTTCTCCACAACCACCCAGAGCCAGACCACATCATATCCAATGTACCGTCGTCGAGATTCGTTGGAAGAGGCCTCGAGCATTAATACAAGAAGATCGATAGCAGCTGCATCCAACGGTTCATCAGGGTTCAGCTGTCCATATTCGCCGATGATGACGGAGTGTTACGAGCCGGCCGAGGCTAGCATAGAGTGGAGCATGACAACCGCAGACGGGATCGAGAGAGGCTCTGTTGGCGTATCTCGCAGAACATGGCAATGACGGCACGAAGAAGTCAGAGAACCGGGGGTTGTTGAGCCGTAGATGCGAGAAGGCGGTGACCGTGGGGCCTAACACCGTCAAGTACGTGCCCCCTCAGGGACAGGCAGCTACTGCGTCAAACCATGCGGGCCATGTGTACAAGCCACCGCTTGCTCGCTTGTCCCTACCTTCTGCGGCATAAATCTTTTTCTCGTGTATTTTCCTATATTTCGTGTGTTCTGAGGTTTTCATGATTTTACTTTTCTTATACAGAAATAATTTATTTTGGTAGAACATTTAACTAAAAAAAAGTAAAAAGGATTAAATTTATTTTAAATAGTTTATGCATACAAGCCCAAAATATTTTCACCATTCTTATGTAGCAACCATAAACAATCACAAGTTTAAGACCTTAAATCATACATGCACAGCTCATGAATTCCATAAGCCAAGAATAATTAAAACCAACTCATTAATCAATGTAGCAACAAAAACCATTAGTCTATCATCAAGAGAAACAAGCCATGAGCAACATCTCCACCATTGTGCAAAACACTTCAATGATCTATCACACTTTGAATGCCAAAATCCTTGAAACAGATCATCTCATGTTTCAATTTGTTTCTTATCTTTGGTAGTTAAAAATAATTTGCAGGAACAACCTTTTTTTTTCCATGAACACCATGGTAAGATCCATATAGGCATGAAAAATCCAAGATTGTATGGAACACTTTCTTACCTTTTTATGTTCCATCTTTCTCCAAGAACCAACTTATTCAAATAGTGAAAGATAGAAGCAAATGAATTTAAGTTAAGAATCTTCATGTAATAATCTTATTTATGCATAAAGCGGGAATACAAGCCCTAGGACTTGCAACACACACCCAACATGTCTTCTTGTATCAATCTACTTGGAGAAGCAAGAGGAGACAACAATTTAACAACATCAAAGGTACCCTCATGAGTTAAATTTGTCAAAAAATTCGCATACCAGATAGATATGAAAGAGCGAACAGTCCCAATTTAGTTGGAAGAGTTGTTTGCACCCATATAAAACTTGATAAAGGGGATAGATTTCAACCCATCCCAACCAAATATACTTGTAAACCCAAACACACAATAGTCTTCACTGTCTATACAAAGTTCACCTCTAGCTAACATGATGGGCAGACACCTCAAATTTACAAGCCAAAGGACAGTTTAACATAAACTATTTGGGAAACCAGGAGAAAAATATACATTTAATATCATCATGGTTGGGAAAAGCATTAATCTCGAAGAACAAAGCAATCAGTAGTATATATTAAGAAACATTAATATTGAAGAATATGAATTTTTTTTCTTTAATTAAGATTGCTCTTTCATGTATGTATTGGATAGTGGCATAGTACCAAGCGAGCACTCTTACCAACTGGGAAACATTGTACTTGCATAAGGGTACTTACATTACCAAATGTGTGTAATTTTTTTTATATTTTAGCTCTCTCAATAATTACGCTATTTAATACCACATGCATATAGTTGGTTCAAATATTTTTACAAGTCAAGTGATACAATAATTTTATGTGAAAACTTAGAAATCCGGTAACCATGCTATCGTCCCATTATACATATGATAAACTTATTTGTTACAATACCTATGGTCTACCAAGGTTTTTTTCAAACATAAAACTAGAAACAAAGACCTCTTAGTTTAAAGAAAATCAACAAGACAGAAGTAAAAACAACGTGAAAAACTTATTTATTTTTCATGTTACATATAAGGAAGTCTTAAGGGAGAGAAGAACTCCAATCTTGAACTATAAGGATCAACGGATTAAAACGGTGAGACCAAACATTGACTGCTGCAACAACACAGCTTTATTTGGACAGCTCTAGTGTTTATTTTGCCATTTGTTCGTCACCTGCCTCAGCAGTTGGCTCCAGAGAATGGTCATTCTGGTTTTGCTTTGCTATCAGTTTGCTGAATATATAAATGAAAAATAAAGCAAAAGTAATTTAGCATTGTAATCCATTAAAGTGGTTTAAAGTAAAATTTTCACATAAGTTAAATTGAAAATATTTTAGACACTTAAATTTAACAAGGGTCATTTCACCTATTTTCATTGCAATTAATTTTAAGTTGGAAGATTATCTAAAATTTAATATGCTAGCTTAAATTAGATGCCTATCTAAAATTTAATATGGTATTATAATATATCCTGTTTATTAGCCTTTATGTAACAGGTTTTTATGGATGCAAAATTCATTCCATTGACTCTATCCATGAGTAGAAGTTTAAATTATTAAAATTTTTGGAAACAAAGCTCACCTTGTTCTTAATTCTTCTGTTAATCATTCAATATAGTCTATTAAAGATTGAGGAATTTGGCCAGTTAATTTTATAATTATTGAAGCTTTTTAGTTTGGCCTTAATTTCATATTTCTCCTCCCCTGTTTCGTCTCTGTTAGTATATATCAGGCTGGAGGTTTGTCTTAAAATGAAGATTTTCAAAGCCATTAAAGGTTTTAGATTATGTTGGTTTGACGAGAAAATACTTAAAATGAAAACTATGGTGAAGGGAACGAACCGGAGAGCATGAGTGAGCTCAACCACTTTGGCGAAATCTTTGCTCTCCCGAGCTTTCAGGATTTGAAACATAAAGGCAAGTAGAAGTATTAAATTTTAGATTGGATGCCCCGTTTAAATTATTAAAAATTTTGGAAACATAACTCATCTTCTTCTTAATTCTTCTGTTAATCTTTCAATCTGATCTATTAAAGATTGAGGAATTTGGCCGGTTATTTTTATAATTATTGAAGATTTTTAAATTGGCCTCAATTTCATATTTCTCCTCCCCTGTTTTGTCTCTGTTATTATATAAGGGGATGGAGGTTGCCTTAAAATGAAGATTTTCAAAGCCATTAAAGGTTTTAGATTATGTTGGTTTAACGAGAAATACTTGAAAAGAAAACTATGATGAAGGAAACGAACCGGAGAGCATTAGTGAGCTCAGCGGCTTTGGCAAAATCTTCGTTCTCCCGAGCTTTCAGGATTTGAAACATAAAGGCAAGTCGAAGTCTGGTGTAGGCACTCTGCTGCATAATGATCATTGTTTCCTTGCGGAGATTTTTGCATTCAGATTCAATGGCTTCAAATGTTTCTTTAACCTGTCTTTGCCCCTCCTTGATGCTACTCTGTTCCTCACTTATTTCCTTCATCTCCATTTTCAATTCCAATAATTTGGCCACCATTTTTTCCTTCAAGGCGCTTCTCCTCTGTCACAAAAATGTAAACAATACTAGCATGTAAGAGGCAGGAACAATGACAACTCACAATCATACATGGGTTCATTGGGAACAACATGATTTGGTTTCAACATTGGTTTAGTTCATTTCAAAAAGTTTAGAAAAGGAGGAAAAAGTTTACCCGAGTCTTTGTTTTGGACGGTTGGCCCAGCCTTTGCACAGTTAATTTCGGGGACTTGATCCTGCACGCTCCTCTCTCTCTTTTGTTCTTATAGCAATATTTATTTAAGCTGACAATGAACGCCATTGCAAATGACAGCTGCAATTGAGAAAAGAAGAAGAAGAATCCGATCAAATATGGTCTGTATAAATCTCAATGCATAATATATATAGTTAACAACGCTGTCCTTTTCAACATAAAAGGACACAGCAGGAAAGTTGGAGGAAGTTGATGATTTAGGAAACCCAAAGGGCAGGGTTAGTTTTTCCAGGAAAGCAGTGTTTGACAGATCTTCTTTCTTTCGATTCTGACGAATTTCGGACGCCATCGGGCGCGGGCGGGTTTGTCCAATTTTTGCAGTCCATCGTGCGATCGTCGAACATGAAGTGAGGAATCGTTCGATTCCTTATTTAATTTATTGTTTGGGCCCCAGCAGCCACTTTTGCCGCTGTTGGATTTTTTGTACCAAAACAAAAAGGAGTCCCCAAATTATTATATATTTAATTTTTAACCCTTAATACTTTTTACTTTTTTATTTCAAAATCGTTTTTTATGATTTTTTAACTTTTTACGTTTAAAGTTAAAAAACATCATTTTTTTTACCATTAAAAAACACAATCACTGCAAAAAAAAAAAAAAAGTTACTTTAATGGTTGACCTACAACGGTGCTAATTAATGGATATGTTATTGAATGATTAGATTAATTGATAGTGCGAAGACAAGCAAGGATATTGGAAGAAGACTGAATTTGAAACATGCAAAGGCGAACTAATAGGTCCAACAAGGACAAACAACAACATATATATCCATTGTTGTTACAGGAACCGGAACTTGATCGAAACTTTCATCTATATATCCTTCGTTCCGTTACATGTTTGATTTACTAGGGAAAGGGAGAGAGAGAGAGGAAGGGGGAGAGAAAAAGAAGAAAAGAAAATGTGACAACAGGCACAAACCCTGGAAACTCTCGTAATTATATTGCTTTAGTAAGAAGGTTTGTCGTGGAGACTACCCCACTTCATTGTCGGTTATTGTAATGTTAAATTTAAGGACGTAAATGATACATTTTGAATTATATGGGAAACAAAGTGATTTGTAGTCCTAAGTTTAGGGACCAAAGGTATATTTTACTCAAAGTGATAATCGCGCGATTGTTCGTTCGTTAAATATATGAATAGCTGCTTGAACGTGCGATCCACCCATTCTACCAATCTCCCATCTTTCGATGTGTCCACTTCACCACCAACATTTTTTTAAGGGTTTACGTGAAATAGGTGATGAGTTTAATTGTGATAGGATTAAAAATAATGATAAAAATAAAATTAATTATTATAATGTGAGATTAGTTATTATAATTATAAGATTAAAATAAATAATAAAAAATATATTTAGATATAAATGTAATTGTGATGATAAGATAAAATGTAATGAAAAAAAATAATTATTAAAGATATTAGATAAAAAATTTATATATAATAAAATTTATAATATATTTTTTATATTTATAAAATTAAAAAATAATTAAAAATCACTAAAATTATTTTATATCAAATAAAAAATTGGATATAAAAGTTATTTAATTAATAGTCTTCAATTATTAATTTATTCTATAATAAATTTTGTTCATTTTATTAAATTAAAAAATTATTTAATACTTAGTTAATTAAAAAAACAAAAAAATGTAAAAAATATTTAAATACCGATATCTCATGTCATTGAACTAAAGGCTCGTTGGCCGCCGACAATTTTTTTTTTCTTTTTGTCATTTCAAAAAGAGACAGGCAGAAAATGTAGCAAAGTGTATACCTCGGAGTGGAGGTAAGAATTTTATTATCATCTGTATATTAAAATTAATAATGAAATATAAAAATTTATATAATTTTTTTTTGAGATATTTTTTATGAAATAAAATTATAAAATCAAAATAAATAATATTTTAAAAGAATGTGAATCATAATAATTAAGCTCATATAAAATATTAGATAAATTTATATTCGAATTTTAAAATCACATAAATCTAAATGTTGAGTCTCGATTAGTGATAAATGATATTAAAATCAGCTTTGAGGGTATTAAAAATGTACCACCAAATATTGTAATATTTTATTAGAATATAGGAGGATGTCACGATCTTGAGATAGAGTCAAAAATCTCACATTGATTATATGAGATATAAGAATTCACATCAAATTTTTTTTATGAGATACTTTTTTAAGATAAAATCGTAAAATAAAAAAGAGTCAAAATGAATAATACCTCATAAGATATAAATCATGATAATTAAATTAATTTAAAACATCGAATCAATTTATATTAAATTTTAGAACCATATAAATTTAAAAATTAAATTTTAACTCGTGACACATACATGTCTTAATTTTTTTTTTCCTTTTAGTAAAATGCTATTCCTTTATTCCTTTAGAGTGCAATTTAGTTGATATATATATATATATATATATATATATATAGTTCTAGCTGATTAACGAAATTCTTAAACTATTTCTTCTAAAAATCAATAGAATCTAGCAACTCCAACAAGTAATTTATTCGTTGATCATATCATTCAAATGCTTTTCTTTTTCCCTTAAAAACACTTGGCAGCTGCAGGAACTAAAACTCTTTATTCATTTATTTATGTATTTATTTGATTTTGTCTAATAACTTCGAGATTGAAGTTATCTAGAGAACCACCAGAATCTTTGAACATTCCTAGAATTAATGGTTCAAGTAATTGGGTTCACATTTCAAAATCCATGAAAATTACCTGGTTTAATCTAGGAATTTATTATCATCTCCAATTGTCCTTTCTTTTATCTACAAGGGTTAATTTATTTCATTTTCAAGACTTCTTCTTACATGGGCTAGGTTTTTTTTTTTTTTTTATACAAGTAGTCTTTGCTCTTTGGCGGAAGTTTCAAGCGAATGTCATTAATATCTATTCTCGAGCGAATAAAGTTCCAAGAAATACACAACCTAACTCCTGGAAAATGAGGCTTGGGGTACTACACGTTTCTTCATCTTTCATTTTCATTTCTCCATCTTTCATTTTCATTTCTCACTAGTATTCTTCAAATTTTCTTACTTCGCTTTCAATTTCAATTTCCCGGAAAATAATTGAAGAATATTGTAAAGCATATTGATAGAAAGAGATGGCGGCAAAGATGCCATCTAGGAAAATTTTTTCTTGTATTCCTTCTAATATCGTTCGAGTAGCATAAGTTGACTTTAACAATAATTGAATATCGCACAAAACTTTATTCAAAAAATGAAAATTAAACTTGATAATTTAAAACACGAGATGACACAACATAAACATAATATAAAAAAAATTTAAAATTTTAATAATAATCATATATAAATTTAATAAAATAAAAAATATATTATATATTTTCATATTATTACGAATTATAATATTTAATTTTTATATAAAATACAATTCAAATATAATAATTTTAATATTTTGCATGACGTAAATGTACAAATCATCGTATCTAATGAAAACAAAAAAAAAATTTAACAAAGTGTGAAATCTATTTATGTATTCATATATAAATTTATTTATTTATTTATTTTTATTAAATAAAACGTGTATAATAAACCAATCTTGAGTTGTTGAAAAAGAGATCAATTTCGCATTTTTTTATTAACGTAAATGCTAATTAAAGTTTGATTATCTTTGTGCCAAATAAAAACTTTGAATTTGCAATCAATGCAAAATGTCTGCTTATTAATTAAAAGGACAATGAACTCATACTAAATTGTTTTATTTGTAATTTGAAATAAACTTTTACACAGAATGATGTTTTCATAATTAATATAAATTAGGGATTTGAATATTGAATTGAAGGGGAAATGGATTTGCTAGTGTTGGATGTGAATTGTGACTTTCTGAAACCTAAGGCATCATTGAGAAGGTAGGCGAAAGGATCATCTCAAAGTTAAAAAAAATAATTGATTTATTTTTCAAAACAAAAACCAAAAGCAAAAGCAAAAGTTAATTTAATTAAATCAAGTTTTCAGTTTTTTTTTTTCTTTCATTCTGTACATCGTATTTAACAAAAACTTTTTATGAAAATGGTATTTAGCCATTTTTTTTACTATGTTTTGGGAGAAATAATTATCTCTAGATGATGGACAGTTATTTAAGCACTCAACTGTATTAATTAATTTCATTCATTAATTCAATATATCTTTCTTTTGACCAAAAAAATAACACACCATACACGAATCACGTGATTATGAAAACAGTGTTCATTTAAAATAAAAAGTCCACACAACTGACACATTAAAACATCAAACATGTAAGGTAACCACATATCAGTATATATCCCTCCCAGCAAAAGGTTCACTATAAATTAACGTCATTCAATAGAATAGTATCTTTCATATGACAGAAGTAATTATAATCCTAAGAATTCGAATGAAACAATAACATCAATTTCTGTATCAAATCTTATCAATATCTGGGCTGCAAGCACAATTACGATTGTTTTTAAGTGTCCAATCTTTTCTTTCAAGTCTCCTGAGCTAAAAGAAAAAACAAATCACCTTTTATACTTCCTAAAGAATCACCTTCACCAACAATATGTTGATAGAATATGATACTTTTAGTTTCAGTAATCAAAAGTGTTCTAGTGATCAGAGTACAATTCCTTACGGTCACAGTCTCGAAGTAGAAAAAAAAATTTCACCCGGAGAATACCATTTGACAAAATTTCCCGTTTCAAAGGGGAGAAGCCGTATGATTAACCAGAAAACAGTTGCATATCTAGAGCTAATCTGCTATACTAATCTTTTCACAATTCAAGCGTTTTCTTCTAGCCTGGAACCAGCAATGTTTTTCAAAAATACCATTAGTAGAGTAACTGCAGCAATGCAATAATCTTCATGTCATACCTGGAGCTAATTCGCTATAATAATCTTTTCACCATTCTAGCTTTTGCTTTTATCCTTGCACCAGCACTTTATTCAAAAATACCAATTAGTAGAGTAACTGCAGCAATGCAATATTCTTCATGTCAATTCTCCATTAGTTTAGACTTGCTTCTTCTCTAAATTAGCAGCAGCTATCCTTTGGCACATCCTCCAATCTGGGATTTTACCGGGGAAAGCCCATCTTAGCAATCTCTCCCACGTATAGCAGCCGAGAAACATTAGTAGAGCCCACATCAATAGCTTATTCCTCAAACCCATTGGTAAAAGAACCAACTTCAACCAATCATTCAAGTCACTAAATAGATCAGAAGTTACAACCACAAAGAAACCAACGGGGGCTACAAGCGCATACAAGAATGGTTTTTTCTTGGGAATGTTATGGTTGAAAGGATGACCCATGTAGTAC